CCCAGCTACTCGGGAGGCTGAGGCAGGAGAATCCCTTGAACTGGGGAGGCGGAAATTGCAGTGAGCCAAGATCACCCCACTGCACTCCAGCCTGGTGACACAGCGAGGCTCCATCTCAAAAAAAAAAAAAAAAAAAAAACCCGAGAAGCAGACTGATACACAGCAATGCCGTCTCACACATGTACACTCAGAACTCCAGCGAGCAGGGTGAAGCGTAGTGTCATCTGGAGGAGATTTTGAACTGGTTTTATGTTTGTAAAATTTTAGCTAATACTGAAGAAAGATTCCAGGGTGGATTAAATTGGTTTGGATAAATATTTGTTTGTTTCCCTTAGATTTAGATAAAACAATAAGAATGTGTGAGTTTTTTTTTTTTTTTGCTATGTCATACTCGCCTGGTTCATTGCAGCTTCCCATTCAGGGCTGGGTTTAAGTTGGCCAGTGCTGATTTTAGGTCTCAGGCGGTGTTGGGTGTGAGTGAAGGCAGAGGGCTGCAGAGCTGGGGCTACTCCGGTTCAAGGGGAGTCAGGAAGCCTGAGAGTGGAAGAGCCAGCAAGTCCGTCCCTTCTCGATGTCCTGGCCACAGGGGCTGCGAGGCACAGGGCCCTGAGGTCTTGATTCTGTGTCTCTTGGTTGACACAGGAGAAGTCCAAGTGCCAGCAGAAGCCACGGGCATTCAGTGAGACCCAGCCCCTGCTACTCACACACCCCTGGTCCTCGTGGCTCTGGGCTAGGGCTCTGCAGCACTTAAAGCGAAAGAAGACGCTTGCCTGCAGGCAGCTGACCCACTCTGGGGTCAGGAACAGACACAAAGAGACAAGGACACGAACAACACCCACGTGAGTTCCCTGGGGCTGCTGTAATCATTGCTACAGACTAGAGGCTTGAATCAACAGAAATTTATTCTTCCACAGTTTAGGATGCCAGAAATCCAAAATCAAGGTCTGAGCAGCAGAGATGGTTCCTCCTAGAGGTTGAGGGAGAGCCTGTCATGCCTGGTCCAGAATCTGGTGGTGCTGGCAGCTCTCGGTGTTCTTTGTCATATGGGCACCACTCCGACACCTGCCTCTGTCACCCATCACGCAGCCAGTGCCACCCACCACTTGCTCCCCACGTGAGGAGTCTCTGTGTCTTCCTATGGTCTTCTCACGAGGACAGCCAGTCCTTAGGTTTAGTACCCACTCTAATCCAGGATGATGTCAGCCCAGGTAATTACATCTGCATCTATTTCCAATAAGTCTACATTCGGAGGTCCTGGGTGGACTTGAGTTTTGGAGACATTACTCAGCTCAGGACGCTGCCAATGAGACACGGTGTGGGGTCCCTCTCCAGAGGAGAGATGACCAGTGGCGGGCTGGAAGTGGCCACAGAAAAGGGAATTGGGGGCTAGGAAGGATGAGAGATGGGCTGTGCAGTGTGGGTGGGGTCCTACCAGCTGGAGGATGGTGGACACGAGAGGAGAGACACAGGCTTGGGGAGAGCTGGTCACTGTCAGGAACCAGTGATTCCAACTGACCAAGCATTCGGGGGCTGCTTGGTTGCTGAGCTCAGCCTCCCTTGTTCACACCTTGACTCTGGCTGCCCAACAGGCACCTGCACTGATTTCTGCACTGCTCTGCCTGCGGAGTGGCCTATGGTGGGTTTTGCCCCATTGGCAGGTCCATCTCAGGAATTCCTCAATCCTTAAAAACCCAATCAAATTGGTTACTAGGTGATCTGGCCACCTGACCGGGATGTGAACTGTGCACGACTCTTTATGAGCTTGTCTGGCCACATTCCATTTGCTTTCTCTGGCAGTGCCTCTCCCTCTTCTGATCACATGCACACACACACACACACACACACACACGAGGACCTGGCCTGGATCTCCTAAACCCACACATGCACTCTCCAGCCCACCCCAAACCAGCCATATGCTTGGGTGTGTCTGTTTCCACTTGCATCATGGGTCAGCAGCCAGGAAGCACATGGTTGGCCAATGAGGGTTACCTTTGGCTTTTAAAGATGACACCGTCACAGACAGGTCTCTCAACAGATGCACAGTATCCACGGACAATGAAAGAAAAACCCAAGACAAGGGTGTGCTTTGATGGTCTGCGCTGCAGGAGGAAACTTCTCTAAAGACAGAATCTTAGTAGCTGCCGGGACTCGCTCACTGAATTTGCCTTTCCTTTAAAATTCACCATTCAGCAAATTCAGAATACTCAGTATGGGTTAGGTGCATGGCTGCCATATATATGGTATATCAAAGACAGTGAGCCCTCCTTATCTGTAGGTTGCACATCCCTGAAATCAACCAACCAAACCAACCAACTGCAGATCAAAAATATTTGAAAAAAAATTTTCACAAAATTTCAAAAAGTACACCACTTACTACATTGACTCCATGAAAATGAAATGATGTGTAGCATTGTATTAGGCATTATTAACTATCCAGAGATGGCTTAAGGCACCTGGAGGATGTGTGTAGGCTGCATGAAAATACTGTGCCATCTTCTTTCAGGAACTTGTGCATCCTCAGATTTTGGTATCCAATTCCCATAGATAGAGAGGGATGACTGTATATGTGGTTTATGCATGTGTGTGTGTGAGTTCATATGTGTGTGAATATGCACACGTGTAAATATATAGAATATACATGTAAAACACGTAGCATAACAAAGCAATCTGGATAAACATCATTTTTGATGGTTTTCATGTGATCCTACGTGCTTTCTCTTTTTTATTTTGAGGTGGAGTCTCTCTCTGTCACCCAGACTGGGCAACCTCTGCCTCCTGGGTTCAAGCAATTCTCCTGCTTCAGCCACCTGAATAGCTGGGATTACAGGCATGCACCACCACACCCAACTAATTTTTGTATTTTTTAGTAGAGATGGGGTTTCATCATGTTGGGCAGGCTGGTCTTGAACTCCTGACCCCAAGTGGTCCACCTGCCTTGGCCTCCCAAAGTGCCGGGATTAGAGGGATTCTATGTGCTTTTGAGCAGCCTTGATCTATGCTGGCCTTACTAAGTTTGGGGCCCACTATGGGATGGGAAGCATGTCCAGGCAGCTGTCTGTTTTCTGTCCGTACTTCCTTTCAGCGCAGGCCCTGGGGGAGGTTGAGGGTGTGAGGTGCTCCCTGGGAGGATGTTCCCTCCTCCGTGGGATGGGCTTGTTATGCTGAGAGCTCACAGCAACACCTGGCACAGTGCAGGGACCCAGGACAGGGTGGCCTGGAGAGGAGGATGAGTGGGCAAACCAGGAAGAGGACTCGTGGGAGAGTCCAAGCAGGGACTTCTCTGTGGACAGTGGCAAGAGGTGGACAGAGAGGGAAGGCTGGATGTTCACTGCTGATAGGGTTATTCCTGTGGCACCAGGCACCACGCTGATCATTTGGGAAATGTCTTTGGAGAGAGACAAGGACCTGTGAAAGTTTTTCTGAGTGACAGAGCACAAGCCACAGCCCAGTGGCTCTGGAATCAGATGCTGGAAACCACAGAGGCCCAGCTGGAGTCTGCAGGAAAACTCTTGGTGATGGGCGCCTTGGTGGCACGATCAACGTAGGACTTCACCTTGGGTGTGTTGGGGCAAAAGAGGAGAGGAGAGACACAGGCTTGGGGAGAGCTGGCAACCCTGGCGGGGGGCGGAGGTGTTTTGATAAGACGGGAAGCAGAAGCACACGCATGAGCTCATTTTTACTTGCTTTTTAGCAACCAGCATTCAGTCCCCATGACAACAGGCTCCCATCGGGTCAGGTCTTTGTTCTGCTGCCCTCATCCAGGAAAGGCAACCTCTGTCTGCCTCCCAGAAGTGGGGATACAGGGCAGAGGGCCCCGGGCAGCACCATCGCTAGGACCCAAGGACCCCGACACAGTGACTATTCTCCGAAGCCAGACGACGCGTGTGGCCCCCATTGAGCCGGTGAGCTTGTGCCTCTCACCAGCACTGTGGGGGCTGACTCTATGCCTCAGTTGCCTCATCTGTGAAACAGGGATGATAATGTCACCCCCTTAGAGGGCTAATAGGAGAGAGAAAGGAATTGGCTCAGAGCAGCGCCAGCACACGGGGCTCTCGGTGGGGGCTAGCTGTTGTCCCTGTGCTTATTCCTCTTCATTCCACTGTGGGAATTCCTCATTCCCTGAGGGCCCAGTTAGGGACCCTCACGGAGATGGGCAAGACAGTGAGAGAGCACATGTAGGGGGCTGCTGCCACACACAGTCACTCCTGTTCCCTTCCGCCTGCTTCCCTCCACCTCCATCCTCCAAAACAAGAGAACCAGAGCCAGGGCCTCTGCAGCAGGCAGAGAACCTCTGTGTAAATTGGAAAGACGCTCACTCTCCCAGCCAAGAGATGGGAAAAGAAGGCCAGATAAAGTGCCACTCTGCTGGGCAGTCACGAGCCAGTGCACACGGTTGCGGTGAGCTGCAGAGGACTGAGTATCAGCCTTCGGAACTCCTAAGGGGTCTGGGCCTACCATGACCCAAAAGCAGAACCACTAGCAGCATTGAGGGGGCGGAGCGAGGCGCAGGCACAGATTCCGACGAGGATGAACACAGAAACAAAGATCCCAAGGAAGGAACCCCCGCTCCATTGTGGGTGTGAGGCTGCCAGGGACCCGAGCAGGAAACAGCGAGGGCTGAGGGTGGGCTGAAAAGAACCGTAAACTTACAACCACCTATTTATTCCAGGGCCCACATTCCTTTCGTGTTCACGCTCATCTCTGGGGAATTCAGCCCAGATTTTACCCAGAGCATTGCATCTCCTTATACTTAATTGGGTGACATTTAGAGGAAAACACGTGTGCCCAGAAGATTCAGCAACACTTGGAGACCATCCTCAGAAAGCCACACCCACACGCAGGAACCAGGCCACCCGCACACGCTCTGGAAAGAAAACCTCACGCAGTGGCTTGGCCAGCTTTGGGAAAACACCGTCGCAGAAGCATCCCCGGGAGCCACGGGCCAACCCCTGGCCCGAGCTGTGCTCGCCCACTCTCCACGAACCGAGCGCCTCCCCTACCTGAGACCACGGTGAGGCAAACCAGCTGCCCTTCGAGGGTCCTGCAGCAGCAAACGGGGGGTGCTTGGGGCACGGAATCGGGGCACAGGCACGTTCCAGCTCCAGGCTGGGCTTCGGCAAATGCGAGCACTTCTTCGAGGCCAGCTCTCGATACTTTCCGGAAACATACTTTTCAGCACATTTTAAGAATCTTTTCTGTGTTCCTCTTTCACATGTCACAGAGCACTAAAAATAGGAGAACAAAAGATGTCAGTGAAAAAAAAATCTCTTTTTTTGCAAAATCTGTGGGTTAAAATATCGAAGATATCTGCTTGAACATTTGTATAAGTGTGAACATTCAGTGAAAATTGTTGGACCTTAGCATTTTTAAGAGACATTATAGAATCCATCATTAAAAATAAGAGGACCTTGAGGGCATCATCCCATTTCACTGGAAAATTAAAATGTTGGGCTGTCATTGCTATTGGAACATACTGAAACTTAATACATAAGTACATGTGGTAACTACCACGGCTCTATGGATTGACCCACCCAACTGCAGTTGATGTTGGTTCCCAAAGCAGGGGCAGGTAGAAGAAACTCAGGGCTCACAATCTTCCCTAGGAATCCGAGTGCTGCCTGTGAGGAAAGGAAGGGTGCATGGAGAGCAAATCTCTTAGCTCCCCGCTAAGGCAGGCTCTAAGCTTGAGCTGCTCCAGTTGCAGACACCCTGGCTTATGCAGAGGTGCCCTGTGCAAACCAGCAGCCCAGGCAGGAGGCTGCAGCCCCCGCTTGCCGGGAGAACACACAGGAGCAAGGTACACTGTCCCACCACAGACTGGGCACGGAGGGTCTCTGGAGCAGAGGTCCCGGCCCCCGGCGTTGCTGTCTCCTGCTGGGGTAGAGTGGACGATGTTGTGCAGCTCCAGTGGACCTCTGGCTGAAATGCCCTCAGGTTCCCCAGCAGAGAAGCCCAGGTGGCAACACCTGCCCAGGTCCTGACCTCGCATTCACATCTTTAGGCTTACAGGTGTGCTTTTTGTGCATCCTGATGGAAGATGGAGAGGAGTTGGAACACTCCTCTTGGTTGCACGCTGATCCAGGTCTAAGAGAGAAACTCTGGCATGCGTGTGTGTGTGGTGTGGGATGTGCGTGTGTGCATGTATTAAATTTCAGGGCAAAGACTTTCTACCTGGACACAGCCCACAGATTATGTAGCCATGTCACTTACTTTCTGTAGACTCTGCCTCTAGGGATATGCACCCAGGGATGTGTGTTTTCCAATGACAGTGCATTCGGTTCTATGGGACACTCATTCCTACCCTCCAGGTGAAAGAGGACCTGAGGTACATTGTTACCAATGGCAAGCTCACTCAAGCAAGCAAGGGTGCTCTTATTTTTTAGTGACAAACTGAAACAGTGTCTCAACAGGATTCAATGCCTTGCTTGGCACTTCCTACCAATCTGAACAAAGAAGGCATCGTTGGAGGGTGGGGAAAACACAGTGCCTGATGAGACCTGGGTCCCTCCCTGAGGAGTGTGGGATCAGGGAAGAGCTTTCTTCCCACAACTGCTGTGGCAATACAAAGGCACAGCTCTGGGTTACGGTAATCTCTCAATACCCCATTCAGACAGGTTCATGCTTGGCTGGTGGTGCTGTTACCACGCTGTGGGGTGTAAGATTTCCGAAGCGCTTTTGGAAGCATTTGGTCCGAAGCTAGTCATGAAACCATCAGTATTCCAAACTAATGATTCCAGTGTTATTCCCATGATGAAGGGGTCCAGGACAGCTCCTGAATGGTGCAGAAGAAAGGGCTTCCCAGCCTCCTGCAGCACCAGGTGACCGATTTCAATAAAACTAACAGGAGAGTTTCCTTTCACAAACAGAACAGCTGCCCCCCGAAACTTGTCTCAGGAGATGGGTACTGTTTCTTTCCAAGCAACCCACGTTCTTCCTGCTCTCCAGGAGTCACGCATTTCCTGGCATGTGGCTACACCTGCCCAGGAGTTACATGATCCCCTATTCTCACACTCACACCCCCTCAACCCTCTCGTCCTCTGCTCCACGCCGGACCAGTGATAAGGACATGGATGCCACTGTGTGAGATGCCCCCAGGACATGATTCAGAAGCCAAAGGAAATTAAGCAACCCCATGAAGTTGATGGAAGCCGAGAGGGTGGTCCGAAGCTGGCAGAACAGAAACTTGGCAGTGCAAGGAAGTCGAGAAGAGATAAAAAGGGAGAAGAGAGAGGAGCGGGAAGAGGAAAACCAGGAGAGAAGAGGCAGTCCTGGTGGGGAAATCTGGTCAACCTTGCTCCCCTGAGACCAGGGTGCACCTACCTGGGACCAGGCGGACACCAGCCACTGCAGCTTCTTGGGCTTGTGGCAGCGCTGAAGTAGACAGGCTTCATGCATCCTGGGCTTGGGCTCTGAGGTGCAGACAGTGTCGGGCAGCAGCTGCGCTCTGGCCGAGGGGTTGGTGCTCTTACAGGCCACTGCCCGCTTCCTCCACCCCTTCCCACAGGTGTGTGAGCACTGCACAGAAGAGTCAGGATCAGCACCCAGCAAGGGCCACGTGCAACACAGCAGATCATGCAGGGGCCCTGCCACCACCCATGCCAACCCCGCCCAGGTTACCTCTGCCCAGGGCCCGGTGCTCCATGCCGGTGGGCAGCTCTGAGAGTTGCAGGCCTGCCTGCTGGAGGGAGCAGGCTGTGGGCACAGGCTGGCCGGGACTGGCTCCGAGTCATAGTGCACGCGCCGTGTGCACTGCACGGGGCGGCTCTGGGCACCCCCGCCGCACGTCCGACTGCAGGCACTCCAGTTCCCCACGGACCAGCTGGGCAGGGACAAAGAGACCTCGGTGAGGGATGGCTCCACTCTGACAGAAGCGGCCCCACACCTGATGTGGAGGTGGTGGCAAGATTTCCCAGCCACGGTCACGTGTGTGCAGTTATTTTCAGTTCCACTGTTCCCGAGTGAGCTCTCCTACCAGAGTCTTCCTGCCCCTGCTGTTTCTCACCTTCCTGATCCTGATTCATGCTATGCCATTCTTTCCCTTCCTCTGGCTTTTGGGTTCCAGTGGACTTGGAAAGAACCCTATTCGGCACAGTGTGTCTGTTCTCTTCTTTTTTAAAAAATGCAAAATTTCAAACATATAAAATACAAAACATCTATGGGTTCCTGTCCACTCAACTCTCCCAATTTCAGTGTATGTCCCCAACCCCTACTGCATTTTGAAGGTGATTCCAGACTTGAAAATATCTCATATGAATCTCTAAAAAATAAGGATTTTTTAAAAACATAACCATAATATCATCATAACATCTAGAGCATTAATGATTCTTTAACATCCCTGAAGAGTTAGTGTTCCAGTTCCCAGCTGTGTCATCAATATCCTAATTTGATATGTTTGTTTGAGGAATCCAAATAAAGTCCAGATTGTGCAACAGATTCACATCTTCTCTTGCAGGCTTTAGGCTTTCCCTTAAATTTTGTTTATTTTTATGTTCGATGTATTCGTTAAAGACAGAGGCTCTTTCCCTTACTGAGTCTTCCACAGTGTGGAAGCTGATTTTTTGCTCATTACAGGATTCTTGGAATTACATCTCTGTGATGTTGGTTCTTGTGTTCTTCTGTCCTCTATTTTTAATTCTTTAGTAGTTTGTTCTAGAGGCTTCTTCAGATTCTGGTTCAACTTTCTCATATGATTATTTCGTAAGTGATCACGCATTCTTCCAGCAGGAGGCTCAAGATGTCAGAGTATCTTTCTTTCAATTTGTTAGCAGCTGTGGATGCTTGTAAATGTGTTTTTCTTTCCTAGTGATAAAAGCATACCCCGTCAACATGCACGTTGTCAGGTGATGGGGTGCGGAGTGGAGTTGGCTTTGTCCAGTGGGATCACCTTTGATCGAGACACTGTGCCTGAGTGTGTCTACCAGGCCTCAGCTGGTTTTGCACAAGCCCATCTGCAGGAGGACTTGGTGTGCACCTTGGAGAGGTTGTCAAGAGGAAGGGGGAAACATGGCCCCATAACAGGGACTCACTGGGACGGAGGGCTTGAGCTCCCTCCTGGAGTCACTTCTGAGGACTTGACGATTTCCATTCATGTTAATTTCCCTGTGCAACCCCCTGTGGGCCAGTCACAAGGGGATGGGAGGGGAGCTGGCTTCCTCACCACCCCCTTGCAGCACATCAGTGCAGGGCACCAAGGGTCCCACCTAGGGGTTGCCTGCAAGGCTCTGCCTGCAGCTGTGTCTGTGCTGAGGATCCAGGGCAGGGGCATCCTGTGTTCCACTCTACAGCATTGCTGAGTAGAGTTAGGGCAACAGTGACTTGCTCGTGAATCTCAGGGTAAACCCGAGGACTTGTGAAGATGCCCAGGCTTCTCCTTTGACCCTCCATCCTGTGCTCCCACACTGAATCCCACAGTCACCCTCAGGTTTAGGTGTCAAAGCAGAAGCCCAGGGAGCTTGGCCAGGAACTCCGGAGGTGCCTCTGGCAGCAGCCACAGCACCTGGGAGAAGTATTCTCGAGGATGGCATTTGTGGACCCAAGTTACACAGAGAGAGACAGAAAGGAGAAGGGAAATCTACTACGATTCCTCCTACGAACATCACTGCGATGATTTCCTCACTCCTGCTTCCGGTGCTGTCTGTGTGTAAACATATTTTTAACATGGTCAAGAGCAGGCGGTATATGCAAGTTTTATTCAGCATTCAAAAAATTCATTGGCTAGGCTGGGTGTGGTGGCTCATGCCTGTAATCCCAGCACTGTAATTCCAGGCTGAGGCAGGAGGAATAATCCTAGGAGGAGGACTTTTAAGCCTAGAAGCTTGAGATCAGCCTGGGCAACATGGCAACACCCTGTCTCCCACACAAAAATTACAAAAATTAGCTGGGTGAGGAGATATACAACTGAAGTCCCAGCTACTCAGGAGGATCACTTGAGCCCAGGAAGTCAAGGTAGTGGTGAGCTGTGATTGTACCACTGCACTCCAGCCTGGGTGACAGAGTGGGACTCTGTCTCAAAAAATAGAATAGAATACAATAAATAAATAAAAATAAAAATTCATTGTCCAAAACAAGCGTTTTTCTTATACTTCAAAGCCTTTATAAACACATTTCAGTGTTTCTCTAATTACACAATCTGGATCGAGGTATGCAGATATCTAAGTAAGAAAATACAGACAAAAGGTTTGGACCTCAAGCTCCAGGAGATCCAGGAATATCCTGAAACTGCCCCAGTTCTATGCATGCCTGGCTGGACGTGATTTCTGAGCAAAATGATGAGGGCCTCTCCTCAAGTTCTCCAGGGAGTCTGTGACTCAAGTAGTTTTAGAGCCAAGGTTTGGACTCTTCTGAAAGTCTCGAGGATGAATTAGGTGGCAGAACCTCGAAGGAGAGGGAAATTGATGGGAAACAGAATTGATTCCACCCCGAACACAGAACACACCACATGACTTACGGCTTTCAGATCGAGCACCATGATATTTTTACATTCTTTGGTTTGTAGAAGCTTTGAATTATTTTCCACCAAGTGTTTTTACTGAAAAGATTCAATTGTAGTTTTAAGAAAATTATAAAAAGACTAAAATGTAAATTGTGTCCACATAAAAAGTAAACACGTCAGGGATGTAGGAGTTGCCCTATATGGATTGTGGTAATGCTTCAATTTTTCAGTGTCAACAAGATTAGTGTTTTTTCTTTAATTCCATGTTAAGCCACCCAAATTACATATCCTCATTATGAAAGACTGATTATTGGCTTCCTGGCTGTGATAATTCTGCAGGTAAAGCCTCTCGGTTACTCTGTGGCCGCTTCTGTGTGCTTTCCTGTTGTTTTTAACTTTCCTCCCATTTCTTACGTTTGCTCTCTCAATCATGCAGCCTTATAAATTACAATGGGTGTTCTACACTGTGTTGGCTGTTCAAGAGCTTTTCACACCGCCTCGTTAAGTCTTCTGTCTCCACCACCTTAAGACGTTCCAACTGGGTGGATCCATTCTCTGCCTTCTCTCTTAGCTGCACATCATTAAAACAATCCTCCTGAACAAAGCTCCTTCATACCACGTCTGGAAACACCGAGTGTCTGTTTTGTTTAAAAAACCGAGCTTTAGGGAAATGTCTTCATTTCAGCTCACGAATGAGTCAAAATCCACGCAAGCTTCTGTGCTAATGTCTGAGGGTTCCATGAACGGTAACAAGCTGTGTTCAGTAGCTCACCAGTGGCCACAAGAGTTCTCGCTTTGTTTTGGTTTTCCTAAGTCCACCAACTGGAAGAATGCAAAGTGGCTGGTATTACCCAAATCAGTCAGTTTCCAAGGCAGGACTCTGGAGACGCAGTTCCCACTGACCCTCAGGACCTCCGTTGCCCAAAGGCTCCCTCCCAGGGTGCACCTTTGTGGCTCTCAACACTGCCCAGAAAAGTGATGGGGTTTATAGCCTTCACTTAACAGTCTACCCAGGATTTCCTGGTACCATCTAATCAATATGCAATATCCCTAATGCCAGTCTTTAGTCATTTCTCAACAAAATGACTCCCTCTTCCCCATTAAAAAAAATTTAAATGACATTTTGGCTTTTGCATGTAATGCTTTCTTTGAAAATACCAGTTTCCAAAAAGGGTTTAGTAAAGTCCCTTGTCATGACGCACCACACCAGCAGATTATGTGTCCTAACGACAGCTCAGACGCAGAGGCCAGCCCTGGGCTGGACCCGAGCTGCTGCCTAGGGCCAAGCCCCACCAGGGCAGCCATGTTCTGCCTGCGGCTTTCACATTAGCACGTCTCCCTGAGCCTCACTTTCAGAATTTAGTTTCAGTGTCTTTTGTCTGCTGATTCTTTTTGAAATTTCACCATCCAGCACTCTGTGGTTCTATTTTCAAGAATAACTCTAGGAATCCTACACAGGAATCTCTCATAACACAATAAAGACAGAGAACAACAGTGGGGCAGAATCCTTGTCACGGCACAAGCCTACACGAGGCATTGATGAGTGTCAGGGCTCCAGCTGCCAGCTGGATTTAGTCCAGAGGGGTGGGTGCTGGATGCCGTGAGATGCAACATTAGAACACAGCATTCATTACGCCGTGCCTCTTCAGCATCAGAGTTAACATGTGGGGACTCCTGACTTCCGCATGCTGGTGTGTGGGTCACAACTTCCCAATAGGCTGTTCTAAATGAAACCGTTCATGTCACTGGCTATACCCAGATACTCATACACTGCAGACTCAATGACCCAGGGGTCAAGACAGCTGCCAACGTGGTCTGACAGGATCAATATTGCTTGGTTTTTGAAGACACAACAACCTTGTCTTCATATAAAATAGCAGCATCTTCACGTGTATAATTTAAGATCTAATGTAAGTAAATTGAATGTTTTAAAGATAACAATGCACATTCAACAATAAACAGATGACAACTGGAAAAATCTGCCTCTTCCACAGGGAAAACATTAGTTAACAAATTAACTAAGAGTGCAGGCCAGCTGTAAGCTGAAAGCACAGAACCCGAGATCAGCAGAACTTGGGAGACACTGATGTCCTAAGCCTGTCTGACAGGTGGCCAAGGGTCTTTTTAGCTTGTCGTCCTCCTCGGCTGGCTTGGGGATTTACTATGGGCCTAGGACAAAGGATGCTTCATCAGTATCACCTGGTGCCAGCTACACTTCAAGCAAGTTCAAAGGTAGAAGTCCAGCTCTGAAATAAACAATGATCTCCATGACCAAGTACACAAATGAGCACAACAGGTAGAACGAGTTATTAGACAGATTACACCATGCCCACACACGATGCCTTCTGGAGCAATGCACTGCAGTCTCCAAATCCTCCTAAAGTCCA